CCATTTCCCTCCTGACTCATGATGTGACCTTAAACAAGTGACTTCATTTCTACCTTTTCGCATTTCCTCTTCTATCAAATAGGGCTAATCACATGCGATAAAGTGCTGGGAGAGATAATTGCCATGTTAAATCAAACCATTATTATTCTATGCTGGCTTTTTAAGTGAAAATGCTCGCTGCTGCTTGGAGCCCCCTCAGACTCCAACAGATTTATCACCAGAGGTAGTTGAGTCCCTTCTCTTTTAGGTAACTCTGGTCCTGCTGAGAAAAGGGCCATTATGTCCTGGCCTTTAAGTGAGGGTCTCAGGTGGGGGCCTTCTGGGACCCCCGTGGGGAGGTGATGCCTCTGTTCACAGGCTTGGAGATTTACCAAGAAAATTAGCTTCAAAACTGTTAGGATAACTAGAATCATAAAATGCTTGTAAATATTTTGTTGTTGTTGTTCTTTATAAAATGCTTATTATACCTTGAGTGAAGGCCGGGTCAGCACACTTATTCTGTAAATGATGGGACAGTAAAATTTTCTGGTTTGGGGGCCACACAGCTCCTGGGCGGGTGCTGCCCTGGCAGGCTTCTCCATGGCCACTGGGGCGTGTACAGAGAAGAGACTTATCCTAAGGAATCAGATCATGTGATTCAGAGCTGGCAGGTCCAAAATTTCTTTCCCATCAGGGGTCAGGGGCATCACCCCTGCTCCCCCAGCAGCCCAGGCTTCCCTCATGGGCTGTGGCAAAACTCCTCAGGTAACAGCTGAGAAAATGCTTCAGGAACTTGCAAGCAGAAGGGTTTTCTTGGCCATGCAAGCCTCTCCCCGCCCCCCACAATATACACTGGGATGTGTTGCTCACCAAGTGGGCTCAAGTTCTGCTTCTCATACCAGTGAAGGGTTCAGTTCTTTTTCTCCTGAGCCCCTCCCAAGTCTGAGATGACAGTGGGCAGAGACAGTCTTCGCTACGTGACTTCCAAGCAAATCCTCGGAGCAAAGGTGGAAGCCTCCTGAGGCCCACCTGACATTGCATAGTTATTACCCATGAGGGAAGGAAACAGGATCACTTAGGAAAATCTCAGAGCTGAAGTGTTGTCATCAGTCACCTTTTACCCTGAGAGGTCTGAAGCCTGACATTCCCATTGATAAGCCAAGTGAGCTTGGGCCAGCAATGTCCCTTCGCCCAGCTCAGTCTTCCCTCTGTACAATGGGTGTGAGAACACTCACCTCTGGGTTGCCTTAAGGATTAGAAGAATTTGCATTAAGTGGTCACGTACAGCTTGGCTCTGAGTTGCTCTTGAGAAGTGGTGGCCCCTGTTGGTTGCTATGATCATGAGTGAGGACCGTGAGGCCTGGTCAATTCACTTTGAGTTTCCCCTGGGTGCTAGGACTTTATTCTCATTCCTTTCACCCTCTTCTTTTCCCATCTCCGAAATGAGGTTGGAATGGGACCTTCATACTGTACATTTAATGCACCTACTATGTGTCAGGCACCACACCAGGTACTTTCTCCATGATCTTTTATTTAATTCCTACATAGTTATCAGCCCCATGTTATAGCGGTGAAAACTGAGGCCCGGCAGAGTTAAGTCATTTTCCCAAACTGGTGATAGGTGGTGGGATGGGATTTAAATCCACAATACAAAGCATTTGGTGATCCTGCTTCTGGGTGAGAGGAATTAGAGGTCTCTCCTTTGTCACCAACAGTATCCCTCCCACCCCATGCTGTTTTTATTTGTTTGAGTGAGTGGTTTAGGGGTGTGTGTCTATCCAGAGCTCAGCTGGGGGGACCTGAGGGAAGATGCCAGGTGGGGACAGAGGCCACATGTGCCCTCCCTGTGACTGATGTCACCTTGGAATGTAGACCTGATCCAGGCCTTGTGATCTTTTAAGGCAAGTTGGAAATTGAGATTTTTTTGAATGTAAAAGTCTTTCAATTTAAAAACTGGCATAAACAGTTTTTAAAATCCCTGTGCAAGTTAAAACATTTTATGCCCATTTGCTGAGTTTGTCCTGCAGGCGGTCACTTTGCAACCTTTGGATGTTTGCCAAGTGCTGGGTGGCGGGGTGGGGGGGGTGTGGAGAAAGAGAGAGTGAGAGAGTGTGCAAGAGGCCTCAGCCCCGCCTGACCCCACCCACAACACTCCCTAAACCCCTGGTTGTTTCAGAAGAGCCTCCCTGCTTGGGGGTCCTCTGCTCTGCCAAACCCCATCACCGTCCCTCTCTCCATTTTTTTGGGGGGGTGGGGGAGGAACAGGAAAAGCACACAGTTCCCTCCCCTCTTCCTACTTTCATTAACACTTGCTGAATTCCCTTTAGCAGGTGTTGGTTTTAACAACCCTTTGAGGACCCTGAGTTTTCTCTGGGGCACAAAGGTGCGGTGCAGAACAATTCTAACGGGGCTTCCAGCCGGCTGAGGGCTTGCCTGTTTATTCACTCAATAAATTTCTGGAGCCCTTGCTCTCATTGAGGCCTTTATTAGGCACTAAGGACACTACTCACTCACTCATTCATTCATTCATTCATTCATCAATCACACAAACTCCCTTAGTCTTCCCATTACATTAGAAGGAAATACAGACTCTTGATCTTGGGCTTTGAGGGCTGACTCTATCTGGCCACTGCCTACCTCTGCTTTTTCTACACCAGTCTCATCCTGAATACCCCCTCATCTCCCCTGGTCTCCTCGTAATTCTCAAACACACCACACTTTCTCACCCCTTCTCACTTGCAAAGTTCTTCTGATAGGAGACTCAAAAAGTAAGAGGTAATAGAGCTAGAGCTAGATAGTTGTGGGAGCTCAGAGAAACCTAATCCAGAGGGACTTCCTGGAAGAGGCAACTGAGACTGCCTTTTGAAGAATAAATACTGTTAGTTAGGGAGATGGGAGTAGATAGATGGAATGAGAAAGGCAACCCAGGCAGAGCAAGCTCCCTGAGCAGACACTTGGAAGATGGGGTGCATAGAACCTTCATTTTGGAATTGCAGGTGGTTGGTCAGGTCTAGGTTGCATCCAGTCTTGTGCTGCGCATTTGCTGGGATGCCTTGGACAGTCCCTGTTTCCTTGCTGTGCCCCCATTCCTGCGTCTGTAGAATGGAAATCATGTTGGAGTCAGCCTCATGGGGCCCCTAACAGCACAACACAAATGAGGCTCGACACGGCGTGGCACAGAGCACGGCCGTCCTCCACAGCAAAGCCCCAGCGCACCGGCAAAGGCAGTGGGAGCTGGGGTGCAGGGCGGGGAGCAGCCAGGCCAGCAGCTGTGCTGGGGGTTCTCAGAGGCAAGGTCAGAGGCTGCTCTGGCCCCTGGAGCGGGGAGCTAGACTGAAGGGGGTTGGGCAGACATGGTGGTTAAGGAGTTGGGCTCCCGAGTGAGGGCAGTTGACCCCTTACTAGCTCTGCAAAGCTGGCAGGTGTCTAAGCTTAGTTTCCTCATTTACAAACTGGGTGTGACGGAGGGCCCTCCTCCCACGAGAACTGCCAGAACATCATGAGTTCTTAACCACCATCAGATCAGCTAGAAAGGAGTAGCAGGCATAATAAGTGACTGGATGGCAGGACAGGATGCTGATGCTATGGGGATCTCCAATTGGGTCTCCTACCTTAGCAGCCAGGCTGGCGGGAAGCTCCCTCGCCAGGACTGAGACTGCTTTAGTGTTTCGGATTCAGCTACCTAGCGTGTCTCGAGGACGACCTATGTGCGGGTGGGGGTTGTCGGTGCCAGGTCGCAGCAGGGACTGTGACACTCAGGGTCTGTGCCCTGAAGGAGCTAGTGGGGCTGCCAATAACAAACATCAACACGCTTCAAATGAACAGGACAGCCTGAGGCGGTGACCCAAACAAAGCGGGGAGATATGAGAGAAACCAGGAAACTGTGTTAAATATGGGGGTCAGCAAATACCTGGCTGGAGATGTGGGGTTTAATTCACTTACAAGAAGTTGCAAGCTGGGTGAAAATCTGAGACCAGGGAACTGCAGAGGGAGGAACAGAAAGTGCAAAGGCCCTGAGGTAGGAGCAAGCTTGGTGTACATGAGGAACACAGAGTATTACAAAGAAGTGAAGACACAACTCCTGCCTTCATGACACCAAAGTATAAAGACTCACGCAGCTCATTACCATATAATGGAATATTTTGTGGAGGAGACCCAAGTTTCTAGGAGAATACAGAGGAAGGGATCTGTTCCAGCCTAGGCCAGGGAGAGCTGCCTGGAGGAAGTAATATCCAATCTAGGACCTACATGACACGTGACAGAAAGGGAGAAGGTTTTCCAGAGAGCATAGCATGTGCATAGGCCCAGAGGTGGGACAGGGCCTGATAGATTCTTCGGGGAAATTGAATTGCAAGTGGCTGGATGTGGTTAAAACCCATAACTGGAATGTTGGGGTATAAGGATGGAATCAATGGCATCCCCATAACTTAGGAGATGGGTCTAGTCACAGAATTGATATGCTGAGGACATTTCACTTTAGGCAGGAGGACCAGATTGAGAGCTGAGGCAGGGAGAACACACAGAGCTGGGGAAGGTGGGGCTACGCTCAGGGCAGGCAAAAGCGTTGAAGTGGAAAAGACAAATTCCAGAGACCTCACAGACTGCCTGGGGGGTTGTCTGGGGAGCAGGGGACAAAAGCAGGTGATGAGCTCAGAGAATTCAGAAAAGAATTCAGATCAGCAAGGTCTTCTGGCTTGGTGGGTGGGCAAAGTGGCTTCTGAAGTTTGACAGACCCCGGTCTTGGCTTGTCCATTTCCTGGCTCGTGAGTAATCCCCACTCTGGCCTCGACTTCCCTCCTTGTTCACGAGCACTTATGAATTCCCTACCCTGACCCTTGGCCTTGGCATCCACTGCGCCTCTCTGGGTCTCTGTTTTCTCCACGGCAGAATGGGAATGAGGATGGTCAGCTTTGTGGGGCTTCAGGCAGGAGCTGATGAAATGACTTTGCAGGTGTGGGATGCCTGTGCAGAGCAGGCCGCCACTGATGTCATCCTCTCCTCTTTCTCCCTCTGCAGAAGGAAGAGCTGAGACAAGATGGCGTGGCAGGGGCTGGTGCTGGCTGCTTGCCTCCTGGTGCTCCCCTCCACCGCAGCAGACTGCCTGTCCCGGTGCTCCTGGTGTGCGGTGAAGACCCAGGATGTGTCCAAACGCATCGACCCCGTGGTAGGCTTCAGTCAAGGCTTCTTGATGCCCAGCCCCAGGGTCTGCGTGCAGAGCCCAGACAGGGGAGGACACAGGCCTGGCAGCTGTGAACTGCAGCCTCATCCCACCTGGGCTTGACAGGTCCTGCCCACGGCCAGCCTGGACGCTGGGGTGCTGCTGTCCATCTTCGTCTCCACCCCAGACGTCCATCCTGGGCTTGCTCTGGGCCGGGCTGGGGATTAAGTCTATCAGGGAGCCTGTTCTAGGCAGCAGGGAGTGTCATTCAAGAGCACATGGTGACTTTGGGTATCGACAGCCCTGGGGTAACTTTTCACCACCAAGATGATGGGGACCTCTGAATCTAGTCACTCCCATTGAAGGAGTTCTTTCTACTATCCTAAATACCAGGATCTGGTGGGCAGAATCCAAAGCTGTGGCCCTTTTCCTGGGACTGGGCATCTCTTGGCCAGTCCTTACTGGCTTTACTCTGAGCTGGGCCCCTGTGCGCTCTCCTGTGACAAGGACAATGGTGGTCAGAGGGAGTGGTGGTCAGAGCACAGGTTTCTTTCTTGCCACTTAATTCCGTGATTCTGGAAGCCCCTCTCTCAGCCTCAGTTTTTTCATTTGCAAGACGGTGGTGATTCCAGGGGGTAATGATGAAAAGGGCTGAATACATGATTCTGGCCATGCTGCTGAGATGCGCACAGCCTACCAGGTGCTGCCAGGCACTGGGGCTGGGCATCGTCCTGTGCTGTGATCATTGTCATCAACTCATTGTCCTCATCGCCATGTCTGAATTCTCCCAATACTCCCATGAAGTAGATACTGTGGGCCCAGGTTCGATAAGCTCTCACATGTCCCCTCACATGTGCTCTTTCCACCCATCTTTATTGCTCTCGTCCCTCTCTAGAAAGCCTTGTGGCTTGCTTCACCACTAGGAGAGGCTGCGAGAACCAGCTACTTCCTCTGGGCTCAGAGTAGAAGAGAAGGGTGAGCAGAGCAGAGCACTATGGGAAGAGCTTCCTTTCCATGTTGGCAGTGCCACCGATGGCCACGCGTCCTTGGGAAAGCTGCTTCACATCTCCAAGCCTGTTTCTTCATCTTCCACCCTGGCATAAAGTCACTTACATTTATGCACCACTGGGGCCATTAAAGTGCAGCCTGGTGTTGAGTAATGGAAGCAGCTTTTGATTCTCCCAGACATCAGGCAGGAGCAGGAGAGTGATGTGGTTTGACAGCTTAATGGGGGTGACATTATCCCGTGGTCTTTTTGCATCTTTTGCAGATTTGCTTCCTGGAATGCCAGGCTGACCTGCTGTCCTCTGAAGAGTGGGCATTATGCCAGGGCCTTCTGGCTTTTCTTACTCCCTTCACCCCCGGGCTAAGTGGCATGGAAGACGTGGGGAGCGATGCAACTTTGGAAGAGCCCTACAGTGAGCTGGTCAAGCAAGCTGAACCCGTTCTGAAGGAGCTGGAGAAAAACAGACACCTCCTCAGCACCCCAGCAGAGGAGAAGGCTCAGGGCAGGAGCCTGGCAGAGAAGCTCAGCGATCTCTCTAGCAGGCTGGGGGAGGGAGCAGAGTCTGAGCTGATGGAGGGCACCCAGCCAAATGATGGTGCCATAGAGGCTGGAGCACCAGCTTCTAATGAGGAGGACCCCCAGGAGCAGGTCAAACGCTATGGGGGCTTCTTGCGCAAATACCCCAAGAGGCGTTCAGAGGTGGCTGGGGAGGGTGACCAGGAGGAGGTGGGCCATGAGGACCTGTACAAACGCTATGGGGGTTTCCTGCGGCGCATCCGTCCCAAGCTCAAATGGAACCTAAAAAAGCGTTATGGTCGTTTTCTCCGGCGCCAGTTCAAGGAGGTAACCCGGTCTCAGGAAGACCCCAATGATTACTCCACAGATCTTTCTGATGAGTAAACATCTCTACATCACGGTTGAGCCAGGAGCTCCCCCCGACACCCTTCCAGATTGGTGTGCACTTGTCACCCTTCCCTATGTGCCCTGTCCCCACATTCATTTAACGTTGTCTCTACCACATCCAGACCTAGCCTGCCTGCCTTCTGCTAGGAGTGCAGTGTTTGTCGAGGGTCAGTGGGAGGGAAGGATGGAGCTTCTCTTAGTAGGCTTAGTGCTTGACTCAGACCCTAGACCTCCACACTACTGCCCACAACAGCTTTGGATATTAGCCCCTCCACCCCGTTCTTGTGACTACCCAATTCCAGGAATCCAGACTGGCTTCTGGACCTGACTTTTTCCTAATCCTTTTAGATCTATGATCTCCAAAGTTTGCTGATCACATGGCCCTCTCATATAGATATGTTCATTTATACACATATTATGAAACATACAAAAGGCAGGCATTTAAAACAAAATAGATAAACAAATAGAAATCCTGAAATTTTATTTCCAAATGTGAAAGGATCACCCTGTGCCTACCACTTGGGAGACCAGACCATGGTTTAGGTTAAAAATTTAAATACCACATTTGATTGGAGTAGGAATTCCTACATTCGAGAGTTTGATCTTCTGTGGGTTATATGTTTAGTCAGTGTACTCTGAGTTCTCGATGTTTAGGAATATCCTGAGTCCCTGGACACTTGTCCAGGTCGGTACCGTGGACAGCGCCCAACTCCTCAAAGAAGGCAGTGAAACTCTATTTCCTAATGCTTAGTGAGAGCCTTCTGAATGCTGAAATGATCAAGAAGTGAGCCAGGGAAACCAATTTGCTCTGTGTAACAAACTCAAAATGTGGACCAGTTCCCTCAGCTCTCATTAAGCTAATTAAACTGATCGGTATCACACTCCCACCCCAGGATGAACTGAAGCTGAGTCAAGTTGATGAGGTTAAGCACAACCATGTTCTTGAGCAGCTGAATCGGCAGCCAAGAGTCCAAGCCATCTGGTCAAACATATGCATTGGGCATTGGGTAAGAGAATTCAGAAGCAACAGCTAGAAAGAGAAAATGGCTCTCTCCAACCCCCCAATGATGTTTCCTTTTAATGTCTCAAAATAAAACCAAGCAGAGGAATGAAATGATTAAGTACTTGAGGCCAAATGAGTTCCCTTGGTTCAAATAACCCAGAATCAGGGGCAGAGACCTCCCAATGTCTTGGTTTCAATGACAATCTCTCTCTCTCTCTCTCTCTTTTCTGGTCACTATGGCTTGCTTTGTGAATCCAGGTGTCTACTTATAGGACAGAAAATGGACTTGACTTTGGTCAATTTTCTAAGATGCTACTGAACACACTTCTTTGTGGGCAATCCCCAGGTGTCTCATGGTGTTCTGAGATGTATAGATTGTTTTAGGGTTACTTTATGTGCTTTTTAAGAACTCCATTTATGTGATTGTAATTTGCTTGGTCCTTAATAGGCCTATATTATTTCCTACTCCAGTATAATAAATAAAAGAAAGATATTGATGACTTGGGGCGTGTGTGTGTCTGTGCACCTCAGTCTCCAAAACATTAAAAGACCATTTGCATAGGAGACGGCTGGGAAATGAAAATTACACATTCACATGCACACACATTCAGAGTGGAAACTTAAATGCAATGGAAGATGGAAAACAGCACCAGTGCTAGAGTGCCGTAGCCTTTAATTTGAGATCCGTGTGACCTTGGGTAAATCATTTGGCTTCCCTGAGCCTTCGTTCCCTGTTGTGTGAAATAAATACTTGAGTGCCAACTTTTGCAGGGTGACTGAGGACTGGATGAGATCAAAGCTGCAGTTACAGCGGCAGGCACTCAGTGGAGGGGTGGGGTGGGGGTTCCTTTCTCCTACATTGTCACAAAGGACAGTGGCAAAGCTTAAGTGCTGAGAGCAGGGGAGGAGCTGCAGGGGTAGTGTGAGCCCCAAGGAACTCCTGGGGGCTGCCTCCTGGGCTGAATTACCAGGGCAGGAGAGAGAGAAGGATGAGTTTGCTGGGGATGAAGAACACTACTAATGTCCTTTATTAAAGTGAAATCCTTCCTTAAATGGCTGTAGGGTAGGTAAAAGTATCAGGCTTTTCTGCCCTCCCGCCATTAGGCTAGACGAGGGAACCCTGTGGTCCTGAACGCATGCCTGATGGCGGGCGCCTGAAGTGGGTACACCTGGGCTGAGAGACTGAGGTTATAAGGGCGGCATCACAGGGACGCCAGCAGAAGCCAAGAACAGCTGGAAGCCGAGAGAAGAAGAGAAGCAGAGAGAACGCCGGAGAGCCCAGATAGAGTGAGGATTTGCTGGGGGCTGGGAGGACGGCCAGCCTCCTGGCCTCCGGGGACCCCTGCCTGCCATATGCCTGGCAAATCTAAATAAAAGACCTGAAAAAGCCACAGAGGTCTCCAGGACTCTCCTCCTTTATCCCACCTGCATGGGATCTTAGAAAACCTGCACTGTGCCCTGTTCCTGCCCCTACAATGGCATAGATGAGACATCTTTAAATGGGGCTAATGTGACAGACCTCTGGTTGACTTCCTGTGAAACAGTCAGGGAGGGCTCTCATTCTCTCATTCACTCCACAAAGTATTACTTGAAGGCCTACTGTGTGATGGGCCTTTCGCTAGGAGGAGGAATAGGGAAATAGAATGGACAAGGTCTCATCCATTATGGAATTTAAGTCGCGGGGGGCGGGGGTAGACAGAAATATACCTGTAAACAAAAATATACATAAAAACTAAATAAAATTAAATTATAAATTTTAATAAAATTTAAAATAGTAATTCTGTGAAGGGTATATAGTAATAAAGGATAATAAGGATAGGGAGGGAATCTCCATAGGGTTTTCAGGAAATCCTCCTTAAAGAGTATCCCATTCTTGATATTTATAGATCATCAAATTGGAAGGAACCTAAGATTAGGATGATCTCTTCCAACTACCTATTCTGTACCAAAACTCACAAGTTGATAATAGATTTTCACCTACTTGAACACCTTCATTGACTTGGATTTCAAACTCACAAGTTGATAATAGATTTTCACCTACTTGAACACCTTCATTGACTTGGATTTCAAACTCACAAGTTGATAATAGATTTTCACCTACTTGAACACCTTCATTGACTTGGATTTCATAAAATATGGCTGCTCCTTAATAAGCTTCCATCTTTCTGTTAGGGTGGAATGGAGTCCTGATCCCGCTGTCTGCTAACCTATGAACTTCTCTCAGGAAGAATTTTTTGTTACTTGCAAACAAATGCCTCCTAATTATCTCAAAAGGTTGAAGAAACAAACCAAAAAAATCCAGGTAATTTGTGGGCTTGTACAAATGAAGTCTTCAGATAGAATTTGATCTAGGGGATCAATAAGACCCTCTCCATAAGGAGGTTCTTTTCTCCTCTCTGTTTGATTCAGTCTAAGACTTGACATGTTCCCAGGATGACTGATAGCAGCTCCAGACTATACTAGGCAGGTGCAAGTCCAGCGTTTTTCACAGCAAATCCTAATCACAGACTCATTGCACCTCATTGACTCTGATTGGCTCACCTGTCTAATCCTGAGTTAAAGCCGGTCTTTGTGGACAGATTAACATTGACGCTCTGATGGTCAGGGATGAACCACATGGACACCGTTGGAGCTAGGCATAGATTTAACCCAACTCAAAGGAACTGGACTAGGAGCGGGAAAGGGGATGGGATATTCCTGGGAGGAAGATTGGAACATGCTTCCCAGGAGGAGAATGAATACCAACTCACCAAGCCGTAGACAGTTGTGCCCCTAGTGAGTCATAGTGGCTGGGTGGGCACTGGGGCAAACTGGAGGGTGTATGCCATGGGGAATGTGAGCCCAGAGTGCCAGATCTGATTTTTAAGGGACAGCAGAAATCTGAATTTGTGCATTTTTTCCAAAGTAGGTTTAGTAATTTTTTTTTTTTTTTTTTTGGCAAAGTATGAGCAGGACAAATACTATGTTTGGGATGAGCTGGTTCACTCTTTCACAACAATTTTGTGACCTCTCTTTTATGAGAAACACTCAGTTTTCTTAGTTTTTAAAATTTCCCCTGCTCTTCTGGTCTTCCTTCCTGGACCCATTTCACGTGGGGGAGAAGGCACGACCACGGAAGATAGCTAGTGCTGAGCCAGCAAGGCACAGGGCAGGTTCTCCATGGATCTGGGCTGATGGATAAAAGAGAGTCCTGGAGGCTTTTTCAGGCTTTTAATCTTTTCTACACCAGGTGCAGGGCAGGCAGGGCCCGGGTCAGGAGGCTGGCAGGTCTCCCAGCCCCCAGTGAATCTTTACTCTCTCTGGTCTCTCTGGCTTTTCTTGTGGTCTCTTCCATCATAGCTGTTCCCCTTCACTCCCCACCACGCTGTCCTCTGCCGCTCCCCATCCTCTGTGGCACTGCCCCTATAGGCTCGGCCGCCAGGCCCAAGTGTGCTCATTTACATGTGCTCACACCATACTCCAGGAGTCCACTGTTGGGCATGCGCACCCCAAGCCCAAGTTCCCAAGCGCCTCACGCATTTAAGGCCACAAGGGATGGCCACAGAGGCCAATGGTGAAAAAGCCCGAGCAATCTTCGTTTACCCTACAGCTAGGTCACATGGACCTGGGCTCAGTTATCCCCTTGCTGGGCTGGCTCTGAAGCAAGCCACTGCCCTTCACGGAGGCTCAGTTTCCGGTCTGTCAAATGGGAAGAAAAATACTGGCTTCCCTGGACAGAGGTGAGGATTCTTTACTATAAGGTCTCCAAGGCACCCAGCGCACAAGAGGAACATGACACAGCTGCTGCGCCTTCTAGAGGGTGATGCTCTGAGGCTGGGGCTCCAGATGTCTCCGAGTGGGGTGTGCAGTGTTGAAAGGACAAGATTTTCCTGGCAGTAAGAAAAGGATGAAATTGAAAAAATAATTGTTTTACTGAACTGTAACATACATGCTGTAAAGTGTATGTAATCTAAAGAGGGCAGCTCAGTGGATTCTTACCTAGGTGCACACCTGTGTGACCACCATTCAGATGACAATAGAGAACATTCCCAGCACCCCAGAAGGGGGATCATTTTTTTATGAGCTGTCTGTGGGGTGAAGAGCAAGCCACAGGAAGAACTGGAATGAAAACATCGCAGGCCTTGCGGAGTCCCGCTCCTTTGTCTGTGTCTCAAAGGCCACTGGGCAGTGGTCACGGCACAGACATTGGTGCTGGGATGCCAACATCCCAGTAACCTTACAAGAGCTTGTTCCTAATAAGCACGCGGTTACCATGACAACGCCCTGCACCATCATCAGTGAGGAAAGTCTTGTTATAATGATCACAACAATCATAACGATGCCTTGGATTTGGCTCACCCCTCCCCCAGCCCAACTTTAAGCCCTTCACACAAACAAGCCCAGAGATGGGGCTTGTCTATTAATTAAAGGCCCCAAAGGGAAGACAACAAACCCCCCGCGCCAGTGTCAGGAACAATGGTTTCCTAATAGGTGTCATTTCAGCATTCCTGATTCATGTGCTGGGTCCCTGTCACCTCTCATTTTAGCAGTGAAGATGTATAACAAAGATTTATAATTAGTCTTTAATATGCAAATTTACACATCAGTTGCACTGGCACCCTGTTTGTCTTGTCCCTGTCTAATTTAAGCTAAGCCCCATTATTCTCTGTCCCCAGGGCTCCCCTCATTCTTAAACACCTTTGACGTACAGTTTGTCATCTGCAAATGCCCACCTGTCTCACGTTAGAAGCCCATGACCCAGCGGAACTCCCAAGGGCCCTTCGCTGCTGTTTGGGAAACTCAGGAGGGCTTTCTGGCTCCTGGGCAGATCCCTGATGGGGCCTGGAGCAGCCCTGGGTTGAGAGCCGGGGCCCATGAGCCCGAGTGTGGCCTGGCTGTGCCTCCTGGTTGTGAGAGGGGGGCTTTGAATCCTCCAGGACAGTTTTCTCTTCTGTGAAATGACCTTAATGATATCAAGATCCTTCAAGAGCAGACACATTAGTGCCTGCTCTGCGTCAGGCACTGAGTCAATAAATGATGAACAAAGTAACCGAACCTCATTTCCCCATTTGAAAACAGGGGTGATGCTTTCTACCTGGCAGGTCACTGGGAGGTTCAAAGGAACAGACATAGGGATGAGGACTGGTCCGAGTAGTTGCATAATCAGTGCTCACACCCTCCCTTTCCCACGTCATCCTCCGATCACTTGATGAACATTTATTGAGCACCTCTTGTATACCCAGCACCGTGGTAAGGGCAGGGGATTCATGTCAATATTTCGGATGGCTACATATGCTGTGAAGGGGCTAGGGGGATGTGCAGGCATGTTACTCAGGAAGGTCACAAACACGTCTCTGAAGGGGGAGCTTTTAACCAGAGATGGGTAGGAGGTGGGGTGGGGGGTTATAGTGTGGGTGTCTGAGGAGGAAGAGAGGCTTCTGGGAGGGAAAACAGCAAGTGCAAAGGCCCAGAGGCAGGTTCCTGGTTGTCTGTGCATAGAAGAGT